CGTTGCTACTAGCTTAACTACATTTTTCAGTAGCTTGACAGTAGCATCACTATTTACAAAACCTAGTAACTTTTCTGTAGCTAAGCTATATTATTGCTCAAGTAGCGCGGTAGCGTCCGCCAAAGCTATTTTCTCACGGACATCTCTGATGTTCATATATTACAGCATTTTCCCGCAGCATAAAACAAACATATAGAAAGACAGAATGCTGATGCGCATGCGCAGGGCTTGGTAACAACACACACACACAAACGTACGCGCACACACACACACACATGCGCGCGCGCTACTGGGGGAAGCAAAAGCATGGCAGAAAGCCCAGGAGCCGCCGCGGTGGAGGAGGACCATGATAAGGACTCTCAAAGTGTTGTACCGTGGCCATACCTCCAAAAGTATGTCACTCTAGTCGAGATGAGCGAAAATAAATGTTTTCAGATGCCTACTCTTTGTTGTTTTTGGTGTTTTGGGCTATTGTTCAATAAATATCTACAAAATGTTAACCTTTATCTGACTGACAGTTTATCTCAAATAATAAGATAAGCTTTATTAATCTCACACAGGAGAAATGTACATGTCACATTTGGCATGGATAAAACACTCAAGAATTGTGCAAAAAATAAGAAATGAACAAACATGTTAATGCAGGAAAATATAAAATTGCATGAACTGCAGTTTGTTTAATTGAAAATAGCTTCTATATAGCAAGCTACTTTTAATTATATTTATGTATTTATTATAAATGTTACAGATGCCAGAGAAAAGGCGTCTGCTTTTTTTCTGAGTGGGAGGAGACACCAGCGGAGCTGTTTGAGTCAAATAACGTTCAGCGTTATATTACCAATAGTTTCTCTTTCCATAACGATATTCTCTCTTTTTGGAAAGATCACCAACGTGATGCAAAAGTTTACGTTATACACTGAAAAAAATCGTGATTAACATTTACTTAAAAAAATCCTCGTAAGTATTTGCACGAAGATATAATTAAAGATTACTACTATAAATCAAGTAAAACTTTTTATTTCATCAAGTATAATCTGAATGTTATTTGTAAGTAAACCTTACTTAACAAATGTGATTACTTGATCACATAAAATAATCAAGTAAGGTTTATGTGATTTTTTTTAGGTTATTTATGTGTGAAATAGATATACTGAGTAACCATTATGTGTACAGATCATTTACAATAATGGATAACTTGAATAAATGTTATTTATATTTTATCAGTATATTTCATATCATTGCAATAATACTTATTAAGTACTATATGTGTGTAACAATTACATTATTATTGAATTAATAAGAAAAAACAATATGCAAATATCAACATTTAACAACCTGTTTTATTGACAAACTTTTAAGTTCACACATCAACAATGAAAACTAAAAGATGAACTAAAGCTGACCTTAAAAGCAGAACACATGACAACAGAAAACTTAATTATCACAAAAAGGATGCAATGGGAATGGTATAGAGATAGGCCATTGATTTTCTATAATTAAATGTCATTAGCTTAGATGAGATGATGCACCTGCCTGGTCTTTGAGCCTCTGTTCAGCTAAAGACCAGGATGTTGTAGCATTAGCCTCTCGCAGTAAATCTCAATGGCTCCAGACCGAGGTAATTTTAGAAGTGGCCGAGCTCTTTCACATTTTCCCTAATTAAAACACTGTTACATGAGGAGTTACTAGATTCAAGAATAGTCAATTAATTTAACATGTCCATGTTTTAATGACTAATTTTCATATTCTAGTCTAAGCTAGAGTCTAAGCTAAAGTAACAACATCAAATTATATAAAATCTGTGGCCTTTTCTCTTATGCTGAACAAAATTGCTTCTCTTATGTTTTGGACAGTAGCTTGACTTTCAGTGTTTGTATTTTCGGGGATGGCTTAAATGCATCTAAATGTAAGAAAATCTTCTGAAATACTTCGAAGGTGTATCGTAGTGTTGTAGGATAAGCAAGATTGAGGGAATATATTAGACCCATTAGCAGTGCACATGCCTTTGCAGTATTTCCACATCCAGTCACAATCTCCTTGCCGTCGAGAACAATAGAGACATCCACAGGTTCTTCATCAGAGGAAGAACAAATGACCAGGATCTTCATTTTGTGCCGGCCAACATCCTCTAAGTGCGCCTGGGTAAATTGTAAAGAGGAAGAATTACTTTGATAAATACACTCTATAGCTTACATAGCTATAGCTATAGCTCACTTCTATAGCCATAAATCTTTTTATTTATCTAATTTATGCCCTGACAAAGACCGCTGTTGGTCGAAACGCGTAGGCAGTCCAATTCATTAAACGACTTTTATTTTTTTCACCAAAACAGAGTGCCTCAGACTACCTTTGTTCTCTTCAAACATTATACTTGATTGATCAATAATCACAAGACAGGTCATAATCATAGACACAGCCATAAGGTGATTCCAAAACACGGACGTGTGTTTTTGTCATGGGTCAACATGCTGTGTTACATTACATTGGAGTTCATCATCGTGGCACAATATAAAAAAACAATCAAAACAAGTTTATAAAAGAAAGAGCAGTGAGTTCCCAAACTCTGACAGTGAGAGCTTTAAATTACCACTGTATTTCGTTTGGTGTATTTGAAGTGTTGACACTCACTCTTACAAAACAGGTTAAATATGTGAGGAATAGGACGACCCTGAGTTTTTGAGAGAATGGGGGAGAAAAATATCAAGAATGGTACCTGGCAATCTAGAAAGAGTTCTTCCTCATTTTCACCGAGGTAGAGCATTAAACCACGAATCACATTGTCACGTCTCATCTCAATTGTTTGGTTCTGTAAATAGCACCAAAACAGGGATTTATCAATGGGAAAGAACAAATTATGTATTGTACTCAGCATAAGTTATGACTAAACATACCTGTATCTGTTTGTTCAAAACAGGTTTCAGTTTTGCCCCGATAGCACCACCCTTCTTCGCAAACACAGAAAGTAAATTTGGAGTGTATTTGTCCAGATTGAACATGAAGGTCTGCTCAAGAGGAATGGTGGTGATTCTCCAACTTTGCATTGCCATCTCTTTTGAGATGAGATGGCAATGCAAACTTTGCATTCAATCAATCAATCAAAGTTTATTTGTAGAGCGCCTTTCATACACAGGGCAACACAAAGCGCTTCACAGTCCACATCACAAATCATCACATAAAACAAACACCAGAATCACAATTAAAACATTAAAATCACACAAAAGATTAAAACACAATTAAAACAGTAAAATCACACAAAAGAATAAAACCATTAAAACTTTCAAAATTACACAAGAAATTTAAAAAAAATAAATAAATGACAGCAGTGCATTAAAAATGGAGATAAAATCCTTCAGTTATATGCACAGGCAAACAGAACAGTCTTTAACCTGGATTTGAACATTGACAGAGTAGACGCCTCCCTCACATTTTCAGGGAGATTGTTCCAGATCTTAGCTGCATGGATCTGAAACGCAGCCTCCCCATGTTTGGTTCTCACTCTGGGCACCAGCAGGAGGCCAGTCCCTGTGCTCCTCAGAGTCCGGGCCGGTTCATATGACACCAACATGTCACTAATGTATTCTGGTGCAAGGCCATGGAGAGACTTGTACACAAGCAGAGCCGTTTTAAAATCTATTCTTTGAGCCACAGGAAGCCAGTGCAGAGACCTGAGGACCGGACTAATATGGTCATACTTCCTGGTTCCTGTCAGGACTCTAGCTGCTGCATTTTGGATGTACTGCAGCTGCTTACAGGTCTGTTTGGACAGACCTGTAAGCAGGCCATTGCAGTAGTCTAGCCTGCTGGAGACAAATGCATGGACAAGAATCTCCAAGTCTGCCCTGGACACTATATTTCTAACTTTGGCAATGTTCTTCAGATGGTAAAAAGCTGTTGATGTTATTGATTTTATGTGGCTATTGAAATTTAGGTCTGAGTCCAGTATTACCCCCAAATTTCTGACCTTGTCTGAAGGAAGTAGGGAGAGAGACTGAAGTTGACAAATGACGCCCTCTCTTTGTTTCTGGGGACCAAAGACAATGATTTCGGTTTTGTCTGCATTTAGCTGGAGGAAATTATTTTGCATCCAGTCACTGATCTGTTGGATACAGTGAAGGAGCAAATCCAGTGGTCCATGTTCTCCTGCAGTCAGTGAGACATAGATCTGAGTGTCGTCAGCGTAATTGTGGTAGGACACTTTGTTTCTTTGTATTAACTGACCTAACGGCAGCATGTAGAGATTAAATAGGAGAGGTCCCAGGATCGACCCCTGTGGTACACCACAGGTCAGGGCCACATCATCTGAGACGCAGTCTCCAATCTCCACAGAGTACTTCCTATCCTCCAGGTAAGACCTAAACCAGTCTAGGGCTGTGCCAGTGACACCAACCCAGTCCTCCAGTCTCTGCATGAGGATCTCATGGTCGACAGTGTCGAACGCGGCACTAAGATCTAACATGACCAAAACTGTGACTTTACCTGCATCAGTGTGAAGTCGAATGTCGTTTGTTACCTTCACTAGAGCGGTCTCAGTGCTGTGGTGGGGTCTAAACCCAGACTGGAACATATCAAAAGAATTATTCATTGTTAAAAATTCAGTAAGTTGTTGGGAGGCCACTTTTTCAAGAATTTTTCCAATAAATGGCAGATTCGAGATGGGGCGATAATTTTGAAGTCCCGCAGGATCCAGACTGCTCTTTTTTAGGAGAGGTCTTATGACTGCTGTTTTTAGGGCCATAGGAAATGTTCCTGACGACAGAGACATGTTTACTATTTGTGTCAGTGAAGGTAACAAACTGCTCAGGACGGACTTCAGAAATTTAGAGGGCAATATATCCAGGCTACATGTAGAGGAGCTCAGACTCATGATTATCTTTTTGACAGTTTCAGTATCCACAGGTGCAAAGTGAGTTAGCTCAAAAAGCTTCTCTGGCTGTTGCATTGTTATACGTGCTGTGGAGGTGATAGTGTTTTTGCCATCTCATCTAAAAAGCCTACTGTCTCTAATCTTTCTCCTTCTTTGAGTCTTGATTATTGGTCCCCTGCAAGACAAAAATATGGATTCAATGTTGTATACAGTTAGTAAACTATAAATCAAATGTATAGTTACATTTTTACCTGATTGAAGCTACCAAAGTAGAAGTGGTGGGTATAAGATCTGGTGTCAATATCAGCACTTCTCTCCTGAATCTGAAAGAAAATTGTAAAATATACTTTAACATTACAGTATAATATATAAATAATGTAATATTTATAAATTGTCAAATATACTGTAACATTACATTACTTGTGATTAATTTCACAATGTTCACATAATTATTATTTAATTGTCTAAATTCACAAATAATTCATACAATTTTAGTTGCACGGGGGGAACATAAATGCTTTGGGATATATTTTCAGTCTTCAAACGAAAAAAAAGGAAAGACGTATCTACTTGTTAAGCAATAATAACTAAGTATCAGCCATGTTTAGTGGAGTGCATAGCGATATAAGAAAGACAGTCATGAAAGTAATGAAAACTGGCCTCAGAAGAAGCTACGCTACAACATTAACTACGCTATGAATCAAATCACGCGCAGCGTCGTTTGTACATACCGAAGCACGCAGTCCTCTGTACACAGCCCAGATTTACGTTTGAGAAACGAGACCAAACTCTTTGCTAAATAAAGCACAGGCATGCCTGTGCTTGTTGTTGTTTGAGGAGGACACGTGACAAAGCAAAAGCATGATGGGAACTGTAGTATTTGACGCGATTGTTTCAACACAAGTTTCCGAGCTGTATTATACTTATTTGCTTACATTGCGTAGCCTTGTTACTTCCAAGGAAAATGAGAAAATAAATTATTTAGTTCTTTTCAAATGGTTAACTTGTTTAACTAAGCTAGCAAACACCATGTGCCTTATTTCCCTCGGATGGAAATTAGTCCGATTAACGCTAAACTAATATTCAATTGAGTTTTAAACCAGCGTTAGATAACATAGCATAGGCTATGCCTTGTTTCATGTGACGAAAAGTTGAATATCTCTCAGTTCCATTTTGACGCAGGAGAAAAAATACCTAGCATCTAAAAATATAATGTTAGCCGACGCTGATGTGACGCAATGACGACATGTGTACAATGCAACACAACCCAAAGACAATAATGAATATACTGTCACATGAAAAACAATTGAAAAGTTACTTACATTAAACTTCACGTTCCACTTCGTGTTCGTTCGAGTCTGCTGGGAGCATGGATCAATGACAGATTGTCATTGTGTGCGGGGCAGAAACTCGCCAATGTAACCCTGCTCACAAGTGCCACCTGGTGGTTGTTTTGGTCATTGCAGCATCACTGGGAGGGGGGAAAATAAAAGACGCGTGAATCACACGAGACTCACGTGTGATTCACGCGTGAAAGGCGACAAAACGGAATGGGACCTACTGTAAATTACAAATGTAACAAAATACTTCCGATTATCAAAGGAAGCACGTTTATTTTGAAGGTGTCCACCTTAACCACAACAAAGAGCTTGACTGATGAAGTTGTTTTGGGACTCGTTAAAAGCAGAAATAAAACATGTCAGACACAATATTCAACTTTCTTTGCAGAGAGTCAATGCGTCGGGTCGGGAACCACACGTTTTTTTACCCGTCTGTTGTTCCCACAGTTCGCTGTCTTTTTTCCTTTTTTCATCACTCTGCTTCAGCGTCTCTGCCTCTGCTGTGTCTGTGCGACTGACAACAACAAGGGGGAGGGAGGGGAGGGTTGAAAGTGCGACGTAAGGACGTAACGTATGAGGATCATGGGAGACAGCAAGTGACAACTTTAACAACCAATCAAATGGGTGATTCCGGATATGAAGGGCCTCGTAACAGCACGAGTGAGAGCCCCCGCACTCCGGGGCCCTTCCAGCTGCGGGGCCCTATGCATACTGCGTAGTCTGCGTATAGGAAGCGCCGGCTCTGCATATAGAGTTCCAGACTATCACTTTAATGCAGAAGAAGCTGATTTGAACATTAGCTGGAGCCTGTTTCCTAATATGGGCATTTGTTCTGACAGCGTTAGCTTTGCACCTTTTTATGTAACACAAAAGATTGTGAGTCAAACGCCACATTTACTTCAGTCACAGAATCGGAAGGATTTAGTGAGACATAAATTCTACAGCGAAGAGCTGCATGTAACCACGACAACCGGATCCCTATGAGACACTGAGCAATGATGCGTTTAAGAGCACAGGGAAAAGCTGGTATTAGAAGTGTGTGTGTGTGTGGGCTCTTGTCTGTGTGTGTGTATTTTGTATGTGTGTGTCTGTGTGTGTATTTTGTATGTGTGTGCGCCTGTACATGTTCATCTGTGAATAGTAAATATTGCAATAATGTGCAATACTGCAATTTAAGAATGTCCAACCAATTCACTTTTATCCTGCCAAATATGTTTTTAACTTTTCCATATATATTTTTATGTAACATTTATATTTAAATTGTATATTCTGTGAGCTTTTAATACTGTCCTGTATGTGCGCTGCAACATTGACATTTCTCCACTGTCAGTGAATAAAGGTTCTTTTATTTTCTCCTGAGTCATTTTTTCAGTGATGGATCGACTTTAATCAGGAGGTCTTCTCTTTCTTCATCCTAGTTTTCAAATGAATAAAGAGGCCAGTAGAGTAGAGTTGATTTGTTTGTCACTTTCAAACATGCCTTCAGTGTTTTCATGTCTGTCCTAGGCCTAAACAATCCAGAGAAAAATATTAAGCCCCAAATGTAGTTCATCAATATCTTTATCAGTCATTTAATCTATTATTGATTACAAAATAGAGTATTAAGAAGAAAAGGTGTCTTCTTCAAAACGTTCCCATTGAAAGTAAAGTGGTTCTGAAGATGCTCTATAATGAATGTACTGAAGTCCTTCCAGAATGTGGTGAGAGCAGATCCAGAACAGTTTCCTCAAACACAGCAGCTCACATTAACACTAACCCTTATCTATAATTATTCTTATAAAGTGTCAGACTGTACGTTTCCCTGTTTGTTTCTGAAGGATGTTCATTGTATCATGTCATAGTTCATATCTGTTCATAGCCACACGGACAGACAGGCTGTGAGGCTATGAAGACCAGATATGCTCAAATAAATACTAAAACCATAAGATATTCTTTATTTATCTCACAAAGGAGAAATGTACATGTCACATTTGGCCTGGATAGGAACACTCAGATTGTGCAAAAAAGGGAGGAATGTGCAAACATGTTAAATGCAGGATATATTATGTACAATAAAAAAGTGGCAATCAGAAATAGTGTCAATATATTAGTGCAGGTTTTTCAGTCTTATACAGTGACTTAAAGTGACTTGTTGTACAGTCTGACAGCGGTGGGGATAAAGGCCCTGTGGTAGCGCTCCTTACACTGAGGGTGCCTCAGCTCCTCCTCAGTCCTGTGCAGTGGGAGGTGTTGTTCATGATGGAGGTGGCTTTGACTAGCACCTCCTGTCCCTCACCTCCTCCACAGAGTCCAGGGGGCAGCCCAGAGTGGAGCTGGCCCTCCTGACCAGCTTGCAATTCTGCAACTTAAGAATGTCCACTGAACAATGTCACTTTACTTTATCTACTTGTTATCCTGCCCTTTATGTACAGTTTTTATCTCCGCTCTACTACAAATATATATTTTATTGTGAAAGACTGGTATTGAAGCATTTACAGCTAGTTAAAGGACTTCTCACCCCCCTCCTGGAGGCTTATGTCACTCACATTTTCTTTACAAATCTCCCTCCAAATGGGCGTAGCCTGGAGGACCAAAGGGGACAGGCGGGGGGGTGAATGTTGGGCGGGTCTAAGCTGTGATTGACACATGACATCAGCATTGGCTGTGACAGAGATGGAGAGTGATCAGAGACATATAGAGAGAGAGGAGGCAGACGGCTATGGAAGACTATTGGCACCTTAATTCAATTGTCTATTCATTTGTCAAATGGCTATGCATTATGTTATTTTAGTATTTATTTTGTATTTGTATTTGTCAAAGTGTAATGTTATATCCAATTTTGACATTTAATGTTCTATTCCCAAAAGTTCTAATGGCAATTCAATATGTAAAGTGTCGATACAATGTCTTTATATATTGCAAATTACAAGATTTTGAAATGAATAGCATATTGACATGGAAATTTGGCCTCTTTATTCATTGTTCTATTCATTCTTAACATGGCATTTAGTTTAGAGTTGTATTTGGCAAAATTGCATGTTATATCCTATTTTGACTTGTATTCCACATTTGAGTATGTTAAGTTTCATTTAATGTGTTGTGAAACAGCACCTCCCTCTGGATTGCATTGCATATTGCATATTGCATATTGCATTGCCACATGGTTTGAGTGCAACTTAATTCAATATGCTATGCAGTTCGGGCCCTGGTCCGCTCTCGGCCAATCAGAGACGAGTCTATATCCTCCTAGCTAGATGCTGTGTTGTTGATTTTTGCTGGAAGTAAATGCTGTTATGACGGATTGGAAGTAACAGATCACCCTTCATGAAGATTCCAAGTTACTCTAAGGAGGTTCTATGAAAGTATAGAAGTGTGTTTGTTAAAATACCAGTAGTTTTTTTGTTTTTTTTTTTGGAAAAACACTACTGGCTAGCCAGTTAAACGTCCAGAGCCTACATCTGTAAAATGATGAGGCTAAGTACTACTCTGTATTTTAGATCAGAGTTGTGTAACATGAATGTAATACTTTCTAATCTGTTCGGATTTTTGTGCTGATAATGTGAGGATTGCAGAACTAGGACAAAATCAGGCCCCCAAATTAGACCACAACTGTACTGAACCAGGTCTGTATAACCCCGAAAAATATTACTGGGCAAAGAGCTGTAACAGTTAGATTGTGGCTCTGAAGCCATTAACTTAGGTCAGCCATTCTCGGAGATACAAGGGCATGCTTGAATTCACAAAAATATATAGAATATACCAAAGCACACACATCACATCGTTTTATGTCATTGTTTAATCATGTATAACCCTCTACATTCCAGATGCCGCTATAAAGAGACCGTACAACATCTGAATAAGAAGAGACGGTAGAACATTCTCAGACTGGCCAATAATATTCTTCTTGTATGGTGGAATCATTCTTCTCTGCAACCCCAAAATTATGACCAGGATATGTACACAACACTATTGGACACTCATTTATACCGTTTATCAGCAAAAAAACATTGGATTTGAGGGTGAGTTGCCCTTTAAGAAACGTAGATACTTATTTTGTATATTTTGTGTGCTCCCTGTGTCTCTTACTACTGTCCTGTCTGTGCGCTGCAACACCGACATTTCATCACTGTGGGACGAATAAAGGATCTCTTATCTTATCTTATGCTCTAGACCCAGGACTGAGGCTGTAGACCCAGGACTGAGGCTGTAGATCCAGGACTGAGGCTGTAGACCCAGGACTGAGGCTGTAGACCCAGGACTGAGGCTGTAGACCCAGCACTGAGGCTATAGACCCAGGACTGAGGTTGTAGACCCAAGACTGAGGCTGTAGACCCAAGACTGAGGCTGTAGACCCAGGACTGAGGTTGTAGACCCAGGACTGAGGCTGTAGACCCAAGACTGAGGTTGTATACCCAGGACTGAGGCTGTAGACCCAAGACTGAGGCTGTACACCCAAGACTGAGGTTGTAGACCCAGGACTGAGGCTGTAGACCCAAGACTGAGGTTGTATACCCAGGACTGAGGCTGTAGACCCAAGACTGAGGCTGTAGACCCAGGACTGAGGCTGTAGACCCAGGACTGAGGCTGTAGACCCAAGACTGAGGCTGTAGACCCAGCACTGAGGCTGTAGAACCAGGACTGAGGCTGTAGACCCAAGACTTCAGGTTGTAGACCCAGGACTGAGGCTGTAGACCCAAGACTGAGGCTGTAGACCCAGGACTGAGGCTGTAGACCCAGGACTGAGGCTGTAGACCCAGGACTGAGGCTGTAGACCCAGGACTGAGGCTGTAGACCCAGGACTGAGGCTGTAGACCAAGGACTGAGGCTGTAGACCCAAGACTGAGGCTGTAGACCCAGGACTAGACTAAAGGGTACAAAAGTGTGACAAAAGGCCAAAAATTTGATTTTAAAGTAGTACTAGAATTTAATATGCTGCTATCCAGAATATATAACTACAATATGTGTTTATAATATTTCGGATGTTCATTTTGACATGTTCAGATGAATTATGTTAAAAAAACGGCTTTGAAGTGGCACCTTTTCACTTCCGCATAGAAACACTAGGGGGCGCCAAAATGACGGCGATGACGTAGGAGAAGGACCTCTCACAGCAGCAGCAGCAGTCTGGTTGGAAGCTGTAGGAGGTTTCACTGTCATCTGAACAAGGTATAAACATATTTTTAACAGTTTTGTACATAATAGTGTGCAACTCTTTTAACCTTTTAGTAGTGATGGGTAAATGAAACCTCACGTATGTTTCGGCACATCCAACGAACTGTATTGATACTGTGCCGCAACAGTGTTGCCTGTGCTGCTCTATACTGACGCCTGGTGGATCTGATAAATCATTACATGCAACTCACTGATTCAATGAGCTTTACATACTTGTCTGTACACAATATTACGTTACTGCATTGTCTGTGTTATTATTTTATTTTTATGTGAAAATTAAAGTGATAGTTGTGAATGTATTCATTAAGCAAAATGTCATTGAGTGATTTTATATATATATATATTATTTTTTTTCAAAACAATAAGCATGTCCAAAGTGCACTGTAAACCCTGGCAACTAAAGTATACTTGAAAAAACCTTTGACATTTTCTACACTTCAATTTCTCGAAATCATTCTTCAGGACTGTGATGTCAACATAAACCTTTGAGGTCCGACAGGGATTCGTACCCGGTTCTCTTTAAACGCGAGGTGAGAGCGCTATCCACTCATCCACCATGCCTAACTAGATTTTCCGTTTCAAACTAAATCTTGATTG